GCGGGCCGTGAAGTGTCCTAGTTTACCGCGTCTGGTCACTAGGCAGGAGCCCTCACGTGGAGCGGGATTAGCACCGCTGGGTTCAAAGCTCTGTGCCAGCCCGGGCGCTTCCTCACGCCGCACAAATCCCCGTCCCGCCGGGAGCGGCCAGCCGGGGTCTGTCCCGGCCTTGCCTCCGCTGGCCAGGTCTCTGCGCCCTGGCCCCAGCCTAGCCCCCGGGGTTTCCAGCCGCTCCCGTTCCCCCCCTTTGCGAGCTGCCGCGCTGAGCCCCGCGGCGGTGCCAGCTACAGGCACCACTGGGGGCCAGCCCAGCACTCCCGGCCCGCCCGGATCCCAGAGGGAAGCGCTGGCTCGGCTCCCTTGTCCTCCACGCCTGCCCCAGGGCGCCCGGTCCCGCCTGAGACCCCGGGGCACACAGCTGAGCGGAGTGTTCTTCTCCATCCCCTGCTGCGTGGTGGGCCCCGCGGGAGCCGAGCCACTGCTGTCCTGCGCCTCCCCACTCCGAGCACGTCTCCGCCGCGCGCAACCCGGGCACCTGCCCTGCGCAGCCCCCTGGCCACAGGGTTGGAGACGCTTTCAAAGCCTCTCAGGCTGCGGCTTGCACAAGCCATTTCTGGGACTGACTGAGCCCGCCGGCGCCAGCCCTCTCCCTTCTGAACCCTGAGGGAAGGGAACTCCCCATTCTCCCAGCACTGGTCCCCAGGGCCATGCACAGCTCAGGAGTGAGGCCCCTCCCCCGCCTTCGGCCTCTCTTCTCTTGGTACCGGGAGCGCTGCTTTGCGACCCCTCTCCCTGCTGCCAGCCCGCTAGTGGCTCGGAGGGAAGGGGGTGGCTTCGCCCTGGCCTTGGTGCCATTTGTTTGCTCCTTCATCGCCTTGGTTAAGGTTTAATCCAGCAGCAGCACAGGTGACTCGTGGTGGCGGTGGTGGCGCCGCCCTTTCTGGCCCCGCAAAAAATATAATTGGTAAAGGTCTCGCATCCCCCTGACCCTCTCTGGACCTCTCCCCCCGCTTGCACCAGCCGCCCCTGTCCAGCAGAATATGCCATAGATATGACGGACCCAGCATGGTTCATAAATATCTCAGGTCTGATTAAAAAATATTATATAGAGGAGCAAAGATCCCTTCGAAACAGGGGGAAGTTTCGCACGAGTACGATACCACAGGGCAGGGCATGAGTTAAAGTGGATCGTTTAATGTGGAACAACCTGAAAACAGCGGGTGCATCACAAACACTTCTCCCACATATTCTCCCCCCTTTCTTCCCCACGCCCAAATGGTGCAATGAAGGGAGCTGGCTGCGATCGGGGTTGTAGTTCATGACAATCAAGGCTCGGCTAGGGATTCTTGTGGGGGTGGGGGGGGGGGGATTACACGTGTGGAAGCCAGACTGATAGGCCAGGGCGGCAGCAGACCACTTCACTGCTCTGGTAGCCGGAAAGCAAAGGGTGCACGGCTGAAACCTATAGCATCACTTCGTGTTTTTCCTCAGAAAACTGCTCTCTTTAGCCATACAGCCCAGTTCTGGAAATGGGACTAACACAAGGAGCCTCTTCCCGATAAATACCCCCCTCACCCTTATGCAAAGAGAATCTTGTTTTGTTAAAGTATAGATGAGATGCAGATACATTGCTTTTAAATCTCAGCTCCAAGGGCATTGCAGATTCATAAAAGCTATGGCCAGCTCAACAATGTATTTGGCCAGGCGGCCTTTTGGAATTTTTGGAGTTTAGTTAGATATTTTGTGAGGTAGTCAGAACTCTGAGTGGCAGCCAATTCTTAGCCCCAGCTTCCTTTGCATTTTACACACTGGTATTAACAACTATTGCCTCTCTGCTGTTGTCTAATGAGAAATATCTAAAGCATGCATATTTGATGCTGATTATAAATAAGAAGTAACACTCATGCTCAAATGTTTCTGGTTCTGCCTAGCTGTACAGATATTTGTTGTTGTCTTTGCTATGCAAGCCAGAATTGAACAAGGCATTCCCTAGAATCAGCCTTTGAATATATATTACTGTCTACTACCGCAAAACCACATCAATCCTTTCAATGGATGTGGGGCAAAATCCCACTAGTTTCACTGACAGGCATAGGTTTATTGAAAACAATGGGACTACTCCCATGGGGAAGGCAAGTTTGGATCTGGCCCAGTCCTATACTCACGATGAACAATGGAGTTTTAGTCCTGGATGCCCATGGAACTGTAGTTTAATAGATCAAGGATGGGATTTTTAAGGGCACTCAATTTTATCGTCTGTATTATTCTCCATTTCCATTTGACAGTCAGTAGAGTGGTTTTCCTAAAACCTTACTTACATGGAGTTACTTGTCATTTTAATGTATCTGAAATACCATTGAATATAAATTTTGGTTTTGTTAATCTAACATGGGTAAATATTAATTGGTAATTTTATGGATATCCCCTTCCACTGCTTTTCATGTATTTCAAACCTAAGCATTACTGGAACATTAAGCAAGGACAGTACTACAATTTGTATAAATAAACTGTGAATAGAAATATTTTGCTCTTGGGAGACAACAGGAGATGAAACAAACCTCCTTACTCTGCATATTAGCCAAGAAGTTGTGATCTGATTGTTTCCTTGGATATATATGATGGTCATTTAGTAAACCTGTTAAATCACATTTTATCATAGGTGCTGAAACTAGGGATGCTAGGTGTTGTCACTTGAAATGGTTTCCAGTTTGGTTCAATGGCTCTCAGTACCCCTACTATAAAAATTATTTCAGTCCTGCATCTTATGCAAATACATTTTGGGAATTTCCCATAATAATCTCTCATTAGATTCAGTTAATGAAAGTTTGCCATTGACTTCAGTGTAGCCAGGATTCTACCCCACATTTTTATGCAAGCTGCATTATAGTAATCTTTCAGCACTATTGTAGGAATTCACAATGAAACTAAAATGCCTTTAAGTTTGACTGTTTAAGATCCTTAATCAATAGCAGAAAGTATACATAAACCAAAAAAACTTCACACATAATTTTTAATAATGAAGCAGAAGAAACATAAAAATGCTTCAAACTGATGCCATGACTAATTCACTAAATTCCTTGATCTTTTTGGGTGACTAGAGTCTAGCCTCTGAAAAATCTAGAGCACAATATATGTGTGCTCTAGACCCACAATTCTGTTCCCATTGAAGATCTTATAAAGCCTTCTGCTGGCTTTAGGATTGGACATGTACAACAAATGAAAATCAGAACTCTATACTTGAATTTTGGCAGTTAAGGAAGAATTAATTTTTTTTCAGGAATTTTGTTAACCATTTTCATGCTGTTGGATCTTAGGGCTGATCCACCTCTCATGGAAGTCAATGGGTTTATATTTGTAGCTTGTATTTACTGAATTGTTAAGGAGATTTTTCAGTTAATGTTTCTGATTCTGCCAGTATTACATTCTGTAATACCCAGAATGTCACAACTTGCTTTTGAACATTTTGTAGAAACTTGGCATTTAAGATAAATGCGCCTAGTACCACATGACATGAGCCCCATTATAGACAAGAAGGTGAAGTTATGGTGTATAAGGAACTAGGTCCTTTATTTAAGGAGAGATTTTGTTTGATCACATTTCAAATAAGAAACGATCTGGATACCTTATTGCACATATTTTTTGCAATATAGAAAGTTCTACACAATTAAAGTTTGATAAGACTCTGGTACATAAGTAGATACATTTTCCTGCTATTTATAAGGCCATGAGGATGAATAATCTTCTCTATGTGGGCATTATCTCTGATCTTGTATAAAATGTAGGAACTGCTCTTTAGATGTCATCCTTGTGGGGCAAAGAGTGGGTGGAGTCATAGATGGACACACCCCATTATGTTGATAAGCCAAGACAGATGGGTGCCCAGAGGAAAATAAATTGCACCTTTGGAAGGGCTGTGACATCCTTACAAAGTAAACAAGTAACACTCTCTTCCCTGCCCAGGCTACTCTGGGATGGTGCAGTTTAAGGCACAATCTAACCCTGAATGATCACATTAAATTTTATTATTCTGAATGGTTTTTTTTGTAATACATTCAATTTTGAAAAGATGTTTTCTGTGCCACTAATTTTCATGATGACCCAATCTACCTTTTAAATATGTACAAAGAGTGTTTTGCATTCTTAGGGAGTAGAGGTGCTCAATCCTGTAAATACTTGCTGCTTAACATACTTACATTTCAAGACACTACTTAAGTATATGCATTTCAATTTCCTTAAGTACAGCCTTATGTGCTTTCTGAATAAAGATGCTTTCTTGAAGCTGGAGTCATAGTGCTTACCACTAATGGGGTGGGGGCGGGGGGGAAACTAAACTTAGTAGTAACTGTTTGCAGGGCTGGGTCCTATATGATAGATTGGAATAGCCATTCACAGGTTGCTATTCACAGATCCTTTAAAAAAAGGGGGAGTCCAGAGGGGAGAGAAAGGGAGTGACACACAGATGACCAATTTAAAAACAAAAATGATGTATCACCTTTTTAGGAATAAGTACATTGGCAAAGACCAATTGAACAACAGAAAAACTAAACAAATACCTGAAATTTCTTGTGCTGCCTAGAGACGAACATGTAATTTTCTATTTCATGCAACAATGACTTTATTTTTAAAGGTTCTGGCACCATATTGAGTAAATAACACACACTTTAAAATACTGTCTAATTATAGTGTGGACGCACACATACTCGCCTAAGAGATAGGAACACCCTGGGTGGATTCTTTCTGGTCTCCTGGAAAAATAAAGTTTTTTATAACTAGTCTTCTTTTAAACTAGTTTAAAGATGAAATATGGAAACTAAATTAAAAAAGAACCCTGTCTGAGTAACAATGAGGTTGTACTATAAACTGAAAAAAGTCAGAAAATGTTCTGTGCAAGTTGACACTTGAAATTATGCAGTGTTACCATCAGTTAGAATTTCCCAATCAAGGTTATTAAAACTGCATGTTTTGTTCAGTATTTTAATTAGATATTTAAAACAACCCTTCCTCATTATCCTTAGGATCAAGCTACAATGCTCGGCGTGGTGTCATATTTGTTGCATTTCAATCTATTTATGTACAAAGTTTCTTTCAAACAAGCACACACTGATACATTAAAAATAAAATGAATGCAGTTTGCTTATTTTGCCTATCCCAAGCTCTGGGCACACTAACAATTTATTTTAAAATACTTAAATAATATCTTAGTGCCACAAGCAAGTCTATACATCATATAATATCTTTGCAAACCCAGTGACTCTTAACTCCACCTCTTCAATTCCTTCAAACAGGGACATCTGTGAACATTATAATATAAATGTGCCATGCAATTTTGGAAGTACCAGTAACTAAGAAATTAGCATGTATGTTTTATGGCAGTGATTCTCAGACTGTAGCTTTCTAGATAGAGCACCGGTCAAATAATGTAAGAGCTATGTAATCTGTCTTAGTCTCAGGCAGAATATGTCAGAATATGTGGAACAATTATCACAGGAGTGCTCCTGCCACTCCCTGATACAATGTAGGGAGTGCTGAGCTCATGGCAGTGGCGGAGTTTCTTCACCTTGGTCTGGTGGCAAAAAGGATCTTGTGCAAGTAATGGCAGCCACCAGGAGAGCTTAGATAGAAAAGAGACATTCAGAAGGGCTACGTCTAGACTGGCATGATTTTCCGCAAATGCTTTTAAGGGAAAAGTTTTCCATTAAAAGCATTTGCGGAAAAGAGCGTCTAGATTGGCATAGATGCATTTCCGCAAAAGCACTTATTGCGGAAAAGCGTCCGTGCCAATCTAGATGCGCTTTTCCACAAAAAAGCCCAGATTGCCTTTTTTGTGCAAAACAAATCTGAGCTGTCTACACTGGCCCTTTTGTGCAAAAGCTTTGCGCAAAAGGACTTTTGCCCGAACGGGAGCAGCATAGTATTTCCACAAGAAGCACTGACAGTAGGAAGTCAGTGTTCTTGCAGAAATTCAAGTGGCCAGTGTAGACAGCTGGCAAGTTTTTCCACAAAAGCAACTGCTTTTGCGAAAAAACTTGCCAGTCTAGACACAGCCAAGCTAGTAGAAGGCAGGGAAGATACCACCTGTGCCATCAGTCACAGGAAGGGGAGCTAAGGCATGATATATCATGACACTGAGTCACATCAATGCAATGGCCAGGGCTTAGAGTGGTCTAAACAAAGTATGTGAGGAAGATATTATCACCCCTACATCTGTCCATTCCCCTGCCAATAATTGCACCTGCTCCCACCAATTTTGTACCTTCAGCCTCACATCAGTTCTGTCCACTTCCCTTCCATTAATTCTGTCCCTGCATTTGTTCCACTTCCCTCCCTCATCTCACATCTAATCCTGCAACTCCAGGGATTTTTAACTCCTCTTCCCATTCCCAACTCAAATGTTGCAGGGAGGCCTAGGGGAGATAGAGGAGCAGAGAGGATCGATCCTTTTTCTTCCAAGAGGTGGGTAAAGGAGGGAACAGAGTTGCTGGGCTCGTTCTGCTCATCCCTTATCTATCCCCTCCTGTGAGAACAGCTTTGGTTCCTGGGGGAAGAAAGAGCTTGCCCTGCTTCCTGCAGTATTCCTGATTGGCTGCTTTTCTTCAGGAGGTGGGAAAATGGGGAATGCACACAATAACGGGGTTTGCCCCTAACAGGAAAGAACCCCCTCACAATCTGGCTTGACTCTTAGACTTTTTTCCTCATATGTTGCATGCTGGCCCAAATTCAGAGCTATGAAGTTTTCTATACCATTGTCTAGACTAAAGGACTCTTGTCTGTACAGCAGGCCAAAGAGCCAAACAACCTTAGCTGCTTTTCATGTTACTATTCTTAATAAAGGGCTAACCAATTTAGACTCACATGCAGTGGACCAAAGTCTAATGCTTGTGAAATGAGTAGATAGGGTGTAGATTATACACTACTAAGCAAAGGGAGTTTAGGTAAACATAGCATTTTTAGCATGATTCTCCTCTCGTCCACTAGTGTAAATCAGGAATAATGTCCTTAAGGCAAATAGAGTTACACCGGAGTGAAAATGGTGTGAGGAGAGAAGAGAATGAAGCCACTTAAACTAGTGTAATGTACATGGGGAGGGGGAGTGAAAGAAGATACATGCTATACACAATTAGACTCCCTTCAGAGTGACCTAGAGACTTTTGAAATAGGATCACTATGTTTTGTAGACCTATGGAATTCCATTTAATGCTAAAGTGTCTCCCCAGCTATTAAAGGCTGGGTACCTCTCTGCTTTGATGCACTGTTCTGTTAGACCAGAGGAAATATTGTACACTTGCAGATAGCATATGAAATCCACTATTGTGTTTTGTTTCCTCATTGTTCCCTACCTAGGATGGTCCGCACAGTGTATGCTGTTGGTGGTCTGCTTCTTCTAGCTGGACTCCTGATACTCCCAGCAGAAGGGAAAAAGAGGAACCGTGGATCTCAGGGAGCCATCCCTCCTCCAGACAAGGATCAGCCCAACGATTCAGAGCAGACACAGACAAAACAGCAGCCAGGTTCAAGGAACCGAGACCGGGGCACACCAATGCCTGCTGAAGAGGTGCTGGAGTCTAGCCAGGAAGCATTACATGTCACTGAGCGCAAGTATCTTAAGCGGGATTGGTGCAAAACTCAGCCCCTCAAACAAACCATCCATGAAGAAGGCTGCAATAGTCACACTATTATCAACAGATTCTGCTATGGCCAGTGCAATTCCTTTTACATCCCAAGGCACGTCCGCAAAGAGGAAGGCTCTTTTCAGTCCTGTTCCTTCTGCAAACCTAAGAAGTTCACCACTATGACAGTTACACTCAATTGTCCCGAACTTCAGCCCCCCAGAAAGAAGAAGAGAATTACACGAGTCAAGGAATGTCGGTGTATATCCATAGATTTGGACTAGATTCTGCAGAATATTATTACATAGGACACTCCAGGCATAGGCAATCGTATTTGCCAGGATAAGAGTGAATGACATAACTACCACACTGGTGGGGCTGGACACAACTGACAGAAACCAGAATGAATCACCCAAAACATGGTTGGGGTGTGTGTGTGTGTGAGACTGTGTATCTGTATGCAGAAGTATATGAATGTTCACTATAGAGTAAAAACATTTAATTCAGGTGTGAATATCACCAAAGGCCTATGAAACTCACAGGCTTAATATCAAATCTACGAATTAGGACCCTTCGCATACACTCACATTCTACCTGCTTACTGGGTTCAGTGCAGCTGTGACTTTTTTGCTAATGCGTCATTGGAGACCGTATTATTCACTTCACAATACGAAAAGAAATATCAAATAAGAGGCATTTAGAAGATCCCAAGCATGAATTTGATCCTAAATTTAAAGTAACCAGTGTTAAAAGGGGTGCAGCCATAGATGAAAACTCACTTTGGCTACATCTAGACTACAAACCTCTTTCGAAAGAGAACGTCTAGACTGCAACCACATCTTTCGAAAAAGCGAGCTGCTTTTTTAAAAGGAGAGCACCCAGGCAGGCTGGAGCTCTCTTTCGAAAAAGCCCTTTTTTCATTCAAGAATGCACTTTCGAAAAAAGGTGTTCTTCCTCATAAAATGAGGTTTACTGCAGTCAAAAAAAACCCTCTGTGTTCTTTTGATTTAATATCAAAAGAACACAGATGTGTTTTTTTTTTTTTTTTTTTTGTTGTTGTTGAAAAAAGGCTACTTTTTTCTAAAAAAAAAACCCCAAACCCCTCTGTAGTTTAGACACACCCTAAAAGTGATACTTATGTCAGTTTCTATTATGCCATTCTTATTAAAGAAAATAATGTTACAGGAAGGAATTGGGGGCAGGGGGGAGTAAGAACCAAGAGGGCATAGAAAGGGAAGACATAACCACAGAGCTAGATGGTAAAAGAAGTCTTAAGAGTTAGCAGGAAGGAGAGGAAAGGGACGAGAAGGAAGATGAGAAAGACAAAGGAATAAGAGACGACATTTTCTTCTGTTACTTTTTTGCTTTAATTTATAGACAAATTCATTTGTTATATAAAATGAAAAGAAATTATGAATTCTAATGACAGTCTAAATCAATTAAGATCCTTCTCTTGTCACCAGATTCTCTTGATTTATTTATGGTCTTGAAGTCACATATCAGCTGCTTTCTATATTTATGTGTGTGTCTGTACTGTACATGTAATATGTATATATACAGTCTCTATCTACATATGTGGGTATATATGCACACCCAATGAAGTTATGTATTTTGTGTATCTGTACTTTCTCTCTCTCTCACCATATACAAATCACAAAAGTTCAAGCACAAAATGGCAATAATTTAGCATATAAAGAGCAAAGCAAAAATTACAAGCATCATGTGACTGCAAATGCAATAACCACACGAGACAAAAGAAATGGCATGCATGACTAGTAAACACTGCATTGTTATTGTTATTTTAGCTTTGCCACAGGCATGCAGTTTGTTGAAAAAGAGATGCAGAGCCTTGCCAGCAATAATCTGCTTTTTATATCCTTTGCCACAGTCTTGCATTTAAACAGGATTTGGACTAAGTAAAGAGAATTTCCTGAAAGTTAAGGGCTAAATGCTTCCCTTCTATGGAAAAAGCTGTGGGAGGGGTATAGTAACTCTTACAAATCCACGTGCTTCACCTGTGTGGTTATCCTGGCATTCTCCCCTTTGGGGAAGGAGGAGTTCAGGACCAGGCTATGGAAACCTTTAGAAGTACAGAAAGTCTTGCAGGAAAATCTGAAGATTCCAGCAGAGCTGCATCAAAGGCAACTCATCCCCCAATCTGCCCTTCCACAATCTATTGAGCAGCTAGGCTGCTGCCTGCGCTCCAGCCTTGGCTCCCAGTGTGTGAAGGGGAAGTTAGTGTGCTTCCACAAGCATTAGTGTCACAGTGAAGGCAAAGAAGTATGTCCTAGGGAATGGCAGCCTCTGAGCACCTCCCCCAAAATAGGGTTCAGTCTGATTTTGCATCAGTGGAAAGACCTCTTTCTGTCACTAGTATCAGTATTGGGCCCTAAATCAAGAATAACCCCAATGAAGGTAGCAGCCAAAGTTACCCTCATATAAAATCAGTGGGAGAGAGAAAATGAGGCCCATGGGTTTTGCGCAAACAGGATTCGAGTCTAGGCCACAGCCTGCCGTTGATCTGCCTTTTCTCTATGTCCGTATGCACAGGCAGTACTTTAACAATTGTGCTTCCTCACATCTTCACACCAGAGGTGCATACAGGGCCTTAATTTCAAAGCAAGACACATGTTCTTTTCCATCTACACTCTGAGAGAGACAATTATTGTATTACAGGTTGTACCTCCCTGGTCTGGTACCCTCGGGACTTGACCAGTTCCGAATGAGGGAATTTGCCGGACCAGTGTAGGTCCCCCTCCCTCCATAGGCTGCTCCCTGCCAGAG